TAAAATTTATATTTTTATTTTTACATTATACTACTATTCATATATAATTTATGATAATTTAATTTAATTTATATTTTATACTAACTATAGACAAATATATAAGCAGCAAATAATTTCTATAGCTCAAACTGCTACGAAATTCCTTTCAAGTTAATGCCACATTTTATTTGTCTACCATCTTGAGGGAGGCTTTAGATGCTCCACAGATTGTAGCTAGATGTGAATTGGTTTAAGGAAATTGTAACACGTGATTCAATTTCACTGATCGATTTTAATCGATTGTTTCAATTGGTTTTTCGTCAATTTTACTTTTAGATTTGCCCTTGTTTTTTTTTTTTTTTTATTTTTTATTGTAATATCTTCAGGGCCACTTTATGTATTGTTGTTTGGCAATTCAATTCTCGATTTTTATGGGTTTTTAATGTGCAAACGCAGCTACTCCTTTTAATGCCACTCGGCAGCAACCCCTTTGCGCCGTGGCACTTGTAATTCGACTCCCAAATGTATGCTATGATTTTATGTGTTTTTACAGCTAGTTTATGGCCTCGCATTGTTATTGGCAAAAGTTTGCCATATGGGCTCTGTGGCTTTCTATTAAATGCCGTCAAATCGCAAGGCCCCGCAGCACTTTAAGTTTAATCGGCAGGCGCTAATTAGCATATGAGCCGAGGTAATCGAACGCTGGCAGCCGGCCGCAACTTACGTAAATCCTTATCGCAAACATTACCCATTGCCCATTGCCCATTACCCATTACCCATTAGCCATTAGCCATGGCACAATATTGACACAATCGACTTTAGGCTGACGCACAGCACACAATTTGACCACAAATGAGGCTTAGCCTTAAGGCAATATCTCTGCTGCTTACTTCAAAGAGCCGCCCACGCCCCGCCTACAAATGCAACCGCAGCAATGCGTTGCATGTGTGGCAGCCCGCCGAGGCGCCACCGCACAACAATGACAGCGACGATTCCGAGCCAAGCAGCAAACCGCAAAGACAAAAGCCTTTTTTGGCTGCATGTGCGTCTTAATCAAACGTGTTTAAAATTTTGTAGAGCAGTTGGGGCATGGCCCACGGGCGTATGAAATTAACGACCCAAACCATAAATTCATGTTGATGTACAGCTGCTGGACATAAAACTGGGAAAGTGGAAGATGTGGAAAATGTTGAAAATGTGGAAAAACGGCAACAACAACAATAAAACATTTGGCAGGCTCGATTTGATGTCATTTTAATGAGCAGGCCCCGTGAAGATTTGGCACTTTAGATAAATAAAAATATGACAGATGCAAAGATAAAGAGAAGGGGTGAGAGAGGGGGAGAGTGCTCAACAGAGTACTCATCATAATTAAAAGGGCTGACCCGCTGCCGCCTTAGCCGGCAATAAAACTGAAGGATTCATATGGATAATTAAGTTATGGCGGGTGCCAAAAAGCGCCCCGCCCCAGGGGCGAAGGGTTAGGCCTTGCGCATAAAATGTCCAAAGATCGTAAAATATGAAGCAGGCTTTTAGCCGGAGCGACTTAATTTGAAAGCCAGCCATAAAAATGCAGCTGCGCCATAAACATTTATGCATAATTTGTATAAATAAATAAATGTATTTTTTATGATTTTTTAATTGACAAGTGAATTAAGCGAAGCCAAGYTTACGAAATGAATTAAAAACTTAAACTCTTAAATTCTCACTTACCTTTCAGCTGCTGTCAAACAATGAAATCTAAATGCAAAGCAGCAGCGGGCGCGCCTTTTGGCAAATGCAATTAAGTCCGCAGTCTGAAGTCTGCAAGTAAAGTGTAAGCAAAGAAAAGTAAGCAAAAAATTGGCAAATATCGGGGCAAAAGGGTTACGCGACGGCCAAATTACAAACTGTTGCTAAAAATGTCAACTTAAACTCTTTATGCACAGCAATTTTGGCCAACAAACAGAGACAGGAGACGGCAGACGCAGAGCAGACGCCAGCTGTCTTGTCCATGGACTAGTCGGGGGGCGTGGCTAATTACAGTGCACAGCAAATAACAGAAAAGAGAGAAGAAAAAAAAAACGAAGATAGGGAAAAAAGAAAATTAATATAAACAAATGCAAGTAAAGATATTCCCCAAAGCTAACCGAAGCTGCAAATGCCATAGGGAGAGGGAGAGAGACAGAGAGAGAGAGAGGACGCAGGAGCTGCAGTTAAGACGTTAAACAGACACAAAATGCCAAACACGTTTCTGGCTGAAAATAAAAATACAAATAAAAAAAATGTAAAAAAATAATACAGAATTAATTAAAGCAAACAAAAATTGTATTTGATCAGAATGCATTGTGCATTGCCACTGGGAATCAAAGTTGTCAGCTCAGCAGCTACTCAATGCCAAAAACCACAAAACAATAATAACACAACTGAGCAGAAAGCAAACAATTGCAACTGCAACTGCCACTCCCACTGCCACTGCCACTGCCACGCCCACAGCAACAGCAACAGTTTCCCGTTGCGTTTGTTGTGGCTTTTGGCATAAAGTTTTTGTTCAACATTTCAGCCGCTGTTGCTGCTGTTGTTGTTGTTGTTGTTGCTGCCGCCACTTGAATGAAACAAGCAAAAGTTAAATTCAAAACTTTTGCCTACTCAACAATGTAGCTGGTGCAGATATCCTATCTGGCCACAGCTTACATATGTGTGCGTGTGTGTGTGTGCTGCCACAAAAGTTTGCCACACTTGCAACACTGTTGCACGCCATTGAATGACCGAAATGGCCAAAACTCGAGGCTAAACTTTAGGTTCAATGCGTTTGTTGTAAATTAATGGGGTTTGCAGTTTGGTTTTTGGGGAGCGCCTGCTATTTTGCATTTATGAAATTGTCGAGAAGCTAGATCGATAGATCCCAAAGAGGAAGTTGTGTTTCTAGCGGATATTAGAATAAGCTCAGTGCAAAAGTAACAAGTGGATGCAAGTGGATGCAGGTAGATGCTAGTTCTAGTTTATGAATAGTATAATCAAAGTAAACTAGAGTCATTTATAGCTGAGTTTGCTAGAGTAGAGTATAATATCATTTAAAAATATTATATTCACGTACTTTAATATATCATAGTGTCTGGTCACACTGTTGAGCAGACTTTCTCTTCTTCTTCTGTGTTGTAAGTAAAATCATACAATTAAAATAAGAGATAAGAATTAATATTATAAAAATATTATAAAATCATATTAGAAGAAATATTTCAAGAGTTTCAGGCAGTCATTTAG